TTTTATAGGAGATCATATTAAAAATCTATTTCTCATTTTCCTTGTTTTCTTTTCTTTCCTTATTTTTATTCTTCTTCCTCGGAAAACCCTATTTGAAACCTACAAAATCTAAGCTTTTTTGGTACTAAGATATATTTGATGTTAAAAGACAATAAATAATGCTAATTTGATAATTAAGTAATAAAATGAAGCACTAACGACTTAGTCGAAGGCCTCAAATTTTTATAAAAAAATCTCAAACATCATTTCAAAGAGTGGTTAGCGTTAAGCAAATAAAATCGATTTAATTAAATCCAAGGTTTCCATTGAAGAAGTCTCAGTAAATCTTGTATATATCTTGTGTATATGTGAAATATTCAAATTTAAATTAGTGAGTCGTGTGGAATACTAGATATCGGTTATTTTTCTTGGGTTAAGTACTCGTATCTGTGTTAACATATGTGATGTTTGAAACTTACAATTATGTCGGAATACTGGCAATCGAAATAAACCTTCAACAATATTTATTTGCACAATTTGTTGTTATGTTCTTTTTATTTTGTTATTATTATTTATATTATTTTGTTTCTTTTACTTAGTTTGTTTTGAATTAAATAGATTCGCAAGGTCTTTTCAATAAAATGAATTGCGCTTAAGTAGTTTTTTTCCCGATTTCAATGTATAAGAACTAGTTTGTTTTATTCAACAAAAGTCACAATACAATTAAATAATTATTAAATCAAAACAAGAGCCAAAAGTGATTTTCTTTTTCTCAGTACAATTGGATTTTTTTTTTTCAATACAAAAATGTTGACACAATTACGCGAAATTCATTCGAATTATCTTAAAACAACTTGATTGCTCCGCAGTCGAGCGATTACTAAATGAAAACTTGTATTCGAACGCCTACAAAAGTATCTACGAAATTGTAGAGGTACCAGAAATAAATTTTGAAAGAGAGCTCTTGATACAACCCGTCGCCACTCATGCTACTACGGCCGCTTGCGACTTCTGGTTTTACAGTGCTTTTTTCTGTACACGTTATCTACGCTCGCTACATTTGACTTCAATTACAACATAACGAAATAGGAAAAGATACAATTAAATAACAGTAGGCAAAAAATGCGATTAGCAAGTTCCCCCACCAACATTTAACTCAATAGCAAATCAACAAAATCATATGACTTGGTCAACAAAACAAAACGCTTCACTGGTGTACGTCAAGCAGCAGAATATCATTTCGAAAAATTTTCCAACTGCCGTTCCTCGTACGTCTTCAAATACTTTGAAAATTCTTCTCAATTGGGATTGTTTTGCTTGCTTTTGAATAGCGATCGTCGTAGAAGTACATGTACATCTCCGTCATGTTTGCCAAGTAACGCTGTAAACATGAGTTTTTACAACAATTATCTTCGGTTTTAAAAAAGTGTAAACAAAAAATATCTCACCAGCAAGAAAAGCACTGAAATCGAATACTTTAGCCACAATTTCGCACACTCCCTCCCGACTGAAACTAGAACTTTGAACCCACCACACACACTCGCAAGTGTGTGGATTCAGATACAAATGGGTAAGTGTGAGAATGTATCTGAGAAATGCGCAAGCAATGTTTATATTTGCATTCATACATATTTGCGAATGTGTAAATAAAAAATTGCCGGTTGCAGCATTGCTCAAAATGCATATAAAAATATAAAAATAAAGTTCATATGAAAGACTAACGTAATCAATTAATAAAATTGGAAAAAAGTCTCTGAAGTTTATAAGTCTGGCGCTTGTGTATTAACACATCGTGAAGGAAAATTATATGACAACCTAAATTCTGCCAGAAATGTTAAGATAAAGTGTGCTCCAATCTGATTGCCTGTTGTTTGTTGTCATAACGATCGAGTAGCCGAAAATATCGTTCTACTTAGAATTAAAAGTAGATAAGATAAATTTGTCTGTGACTTCCACTATCACTTACACATTTCACCTTCCGTAGTACTCATAGACATTTTGCATTTATTGAGTCAACCATTGAGTCAACCACATCTTACTCATAACTGTTTTTATAACTTCAGTTACATTTCATATAAAGATTTTAAAACAAAAATTTTTTCATTCTCGGAACTGAGCTTCAAGTTTGGCAACACCCGAGTTCGATTTCTGGTACTTGCAGTCTCAAAAAATTATTTACGAATAATTAAATACAAGAATAATTTCCAAGACACCTGATGATGAGTATTTGGCAATACTCGAAACAGCTGTATGCTCAGCCCAAAAATTCAATTAATTAAAAAAATATAAAATGACGGTGCGCTGTCCTAACGTCCCAACAAGTGGCCCCACTGAAGTGAAGGATTAGCCGAAGTCCTTCTATTCTCGGATGTCGTTATTGAGTTAACGCTGGAGCGTCTTCCATTCGCATAACTACATTTCTTGTTAATGAAAGCACCTCATTTAGCTTGAGGTTGCCTGCCAAGTCATCACCAATCCAATGGTGTCCAAAGACAGTCTTCCTCTTACTTGCCAGTGCTGGACATTGGCGCAATGTATGCACCCCTGTCTCCTTTTCTTCTAGACATAGTCTGCAAGTGTCTTCCTCAGCAAGAGTTATCTTTTTGAGATGATACTTGAAGTTGCCATGTTCAGTAATTAGTGAGGTCAGCCAGCTAAGCACTTTCATCGCTTTCTTGACCCACGGTTTCGGCAATATGAGTTTGGTCTGTCTACAAGTGCTCAACTCTTTCCATCTATTGAGATAAAGTGTATTCATAAAAAAATAAAAAGAAAATAAAATAATAAAATAAAATAACAGAGCAGATTTGCTGTTCAATAAGCATGAATCTCTTGGAGTCTTTAAGCCTTTCTCAATATATCAAGTGTTTGATCTAAATGTTCAAATTCGAGTATTCGCGAACTGTTTAAGGAACGTTATTTCAAACACTAATCCAACACATCTACCCAAACCACTACAAAACTGCGATTTTCCAATATGTTAAGTAGAAGAATAAAGTATTAAGATTAATTAAAAAATAATATAATAACAAACAAATAAAACAAAATATAACAAATAAAAAATTAGAAATGATATTTTTGGTTCCTCCAAATATAAACATCTCTTTATATAAAGTTATTAAGAATCAGAAAATGTTAACCGATTAGAACTTATAAACAAGTTTTGTTTAAAATTTAATCGATTATCGATCACAAATTTTAACAGATTAAAACTTCCATTCTATAAAGAGGCTTTGTTTAAAATTAAATCCAATAGTCTAATATTTTACGACAATATGTAATACACCTATATCATATATCTTCCAAAAATGGAAAATAAAAATTAACAACGGGAAAACTATGGTACTGTTTATAAATCGTAAAAACATGCAGCATCCTTCGAGAATGAGAGGTGCTGACATTGCGATAAATTGGGAGGACAGCACTAAATATATGGAAATCAAGTTTGATAAGCGATTATCTGCAGCCAGATAATCAGAGCGGCACTTCTCTACGGGTGTCTTGCGTATAGTAAAGCTGCCAACTCTCCAAAAACACTTCAAATTGCCTTGGTACATCCGCACGAATGACATGCTAAGAGACCTCAGAATAGACCCGGTTAAAAAATATATAAGCGACAGAGCCCTGAAGCAGTACGTGAAAATCTTATAGGCTGTCCTACTTAGCACTATCTAATCTCAGAGCAGAACCGTACAGGGCCATATGTAGATTTTAGATTAGTCGTCGAATAATCACGAAACTTTTGAAGAATATGTAAATCAGTCAGTGAGAAGGAAGGGCCTCTGTAAAAACTCTCCAGCTAAGAAAGAGTAAAAGTGGTCAGTTGCACTAACTCAGAAAAACCTCAACATAATACTTAAATTAAATCTTGATGAAATGGATCAGTTTTTGATCCAATATATATTCTGTATAAAAACCATCCGGATCAATGAAGCCAACCACAATCGCGTTGCAGTCACGAAGGGTAACACAGTATAGAGGTTAAAAAGAAAGGAATAAGTATAAGTTCCAACTTAAATATTACAACTTATATAGTATAGCAGTAGTACTTTTCAGAGAGTCTATGGTAGCAATGCATCAAAGTATCTTAGTATTTTTCGGGGAATAATAATATTGCTGAGGAAAAACTTGCTAAGTTTTGACATAAATTTTTAAGATAACCGTAAAAGATTCTTACTAACATCTATGTTTTGCGACCTTTAATCAAAAGGAATACACAGGCTAAACTAAATGCTGATTTTAAAGGTTTTTTGTGGGCTTTGATTGAAAGGTATACACAATATAAATTGAATTCAAATAGAATGATTTTAAAATGGTTTTTGTATAAAAATCAAAGATATTACAATGATAGACAGCTAAGACTCGAAAATATACAAATACAAAAATGTAAAAATTATCTAAACAACATAAGAACATGGATTTGTCTATTTTGATACTTTGAACTTACCTAGACAGCGCGAATTAGTTTTATATTCAGCCTAAATTTAATTTTAAAAAAATAAAATATTAAAAATATAGCTTATACGCTAAAGGAACT